GTTGCTAATACAATCTTGTACTAAAATGAAAAATAGAGCCTTATTAGAATTCCTTTCATCTTAAAGAATTGCCCTAAGCATTTCATTGGGATTTTGCCTCAATTACTGTATTTTAGCTACTCATATAAGACCATTTTAATTATGACAGTCTGTAAGATACCAAAAAAAAAAAAAATAGTGGCTTTATAACCATCAGTATCAATAATAAAATCAATTTAATTTTAGGTTACCAATTTGATAATCCTGACAACTCAAGGTTAAAACCGATTAGCACTTCAAATTTTTACACATCATTTCTTAGAGAAGTAAAAGAATGATACAGCATGAGAGCATGTAACTATCATAATCACATGGAAAAATACATTTCAGGCTTTAAGTATATTTAAGGAAAAGCTTCTAAAATTCTTATCATTGATATCTATGTACTATAATCCTTGAATTATTTAATTACACCTTAATTCTGTATTAGTATATCACAACAATGTTGCCTTTGAAAGAAAAAGTTAAAGCATGTAAATGGAAGAATGTGAAGCTCACTCTCTCTCTGATTCCTTTCTAGAGGGACTTGCCAGTGTCATGGTTTTACCTCTGAAATCGGTTTCTCATAGACATCTTCTCCTATGGACTTCTCCTGGGCAAGGATGGCATCTCGGTGCAGAACCCGCAGCACTTTCTCTGGCTCTGCTGATCCGTAATGAGCCTCCAGAACTTCAGGCTTGGTTTTCTCTGTCTTCAGCATGTGGATCACATCTTCTCTGGCCTGTAGTAGAAAGTGCAGCCAGGTCAGATGGTTGACAATGTAAATCACATACTGGACTCACAAAATCAATATGGAGCTTACTGAATGCATCCCCACCTCTTCAGGGCTATTGGCATATGCACTCCGTATTCTGTTATTTTTTACAAAAAGCAGATTGGCAAGCAGATACTCTGCTGCAGGTTGCTAGGAAGCAGACAAGGAAAAAAAGGGTTTGTGGTAATATTAACTACATAAAAATCGCCTTATATAAGTAGCGAGGATGGAGGTGGGGGGGAGGGAAGGGAGGGCTGGTCCTGGGATTCTCAACCCATTTCAGTGCACATGAGGTCAGTGACAATCTACAATTTACCAGTTTTCTACTTATACTCTCAATGTAGAATTCAAATCTGGTTTAAAATAAAACCCTGCTACTTCCATTCTGGTTGCAACTCCACGTATAATTGACAAACAGCCTTATTAGTGATTTCTCGTTTCTCATTGATTCATTTTGCACAGAAACATGGTTGGGAACTCGCATGGTACTGGGCTGGGTTTTTCAATCTAATATATTCATGCTGAAGAGGAAATTTTACCTGTTTAACATCCCAACTGCCAATCAGATGAGTCAGGTTGGTAGGGTCAGAGTTGTTCCTTTGGTTTCTTTCTTACCTGTTTAACATCCCAACTGCCAATCAGATGAGTCAGGTTGGTAGGGTCAGAGTTGTTCTTTTGGTTTATTTCTTTCTTTCTTTTTTTTTAATTTGGCAGCTGGCCAGTATGGAGATCTGAACCCTTGACTTTGGTGTTATAACATCACTTTCTAACCAGCTAAACTAATCAGCCAGCCCTGT